TTACACTTCTGGAAGCAGATTGCAGAAGAGACAGAGAAAAAGAAAATCAAGAATTTAAACCCTCTGTTGTATTCAAATTCTTGGATGCTGTCCTGGTCCAGCCAGGATAGGGTTAAGTTTCTCCCAAGCAGGGAGAAGGGACCTCCAGCAGGGTTATTCATACCATGCTGAGGTCAGGTCTGGGTGGCAGCGCAGGAAGTTTTCCTTTGTGGTTTTGGTCGTGGGAAGCACACGCGGCAGGCTGTTCACTGTTCTCTGTATATCTTTTGTCTTCTTTACTGTTATTACTGTTTATTGTTGTTGTTCTTGCTATTGTTGTTGTTCAAATTGTTTTATTACATTGTTGTATTAAATCTTTCCTTATTTCAACCCCAGGGTTTGTGCTTAACTTCCAACCCTGACCGGCTGAGGGTGGGGGAGGGACAACAGCAATGTGGTCTCCAGTCCCGGCAGGGCCTAAACTACCACAGATGCAAGCCAGTAGAAGCCATGCAATTAACTCTCTATAAGGAATGGCGTTAGGAACTATAACTTATCAATCACTGTGCTGTCAGTTCTAACTTTTTTGATATAAACATGAGGTTTATTTCTCTTGCTTGGGAGAACCCCAGCTATAGGAACTGATTTCACACAAACTCTGCTCATTCTCAGAGCTATCATTAGCCCTTTGAGGCTACATCATTGTTCTGTCAATGTTGTGAGCTGAGTAGCATAATACATCATAAAAGTCAGATTTAAGATATTGTTAACTATCCAAATTACTTCTTTCCGTTTTGCTAGTCAATTCCATGAATGGCCATCCTTCATTTCTGAATAACCCATTTTTTCCACTAGGGGAGAAATTATTAACTTTTCTCCTATTACCTCTTCTGCTGCTTCTTCCACATTTCTTCCAAAGGTTTAACATCAGTTTTGGAATCAACAAGAGCTCTTTGACTTTTTATCAGTGCTGAAATGCCCCACATCAAACAGGAGTATTTGAACAAAGCATACACATAGCCTAAGTACTACCAGTAGCAAATTACAACTACGCACGCCAGAAAATGCAAGCATTGTAGTATTCATCAACATAGTACCAAGCAAGAAATATTGGGAAGAGTATTATAGCCAAATTTTTCAAACTTTGACATCCAAATATAAAAATTTAGGGAACAATCCAGGTTCCTAATCATAGGTGTCTAGTGTAATTTTAGACTCACTCTGATGTTCTACCCAGTCTGCAGTTGCTACAAGTGTCCTACTACCAGGTTCATGTATGGCAGCCTTATATAGCCAAGGACATCTAAAATGATAGCAGAAAACTATGTTGAGGCAACTGATTTACTACTCTAATTTCAGATTTGGCCATGTGAACTCAAGGCACTTAGACTTTTTCAGAGGTGCTGACACTATCAACAAAACCTTTTTTTTTATATTTTAGTTTTGTTTTGAAGCTTGATTCAGCCTTATTTAACAGGAATCAAAGGCTAATAAAATTGTTATAACAATGAAACAATTTTGTCAGATCACATGAAACATTCTCCCTAACTCATATAACATCTATAAGCAGTGACACATGCACAATTCTGTTTCATTACTGGTAATATTTACACTGAAAAATATTAATGCTGCTGCTGTTATGTGTTCTGATTTATTTAAGAAAATGAAATATGCTTATTTCAGGTTAATGCCTAAAGCTCTTCCTTTTCTGTTTTGATATAACAGGAAAACTAAACCATGAGTTATTCACACACTTACAGTTTCTGGTAACTGAGCAACAATGTCATTTACTGGAGATGTATACCTTACACTGCAGAACAGCATCTGGTAAAGAGCATGCAACGGGTAATATGGCTTTTTGTCACTCTCACAAGTGGCAAAGATACATCCATTACCAAAAGTCTTAATGTATGTTATTAATGTTATTAAGCAAATGTGGAACTCAGAAACTGAAAAGCAGCCATTAAAAGCAGGAAACAGCTGTCCAGCAAACATCAAGAATGGCCTAAGAAAAAGGTAAATATGAGAGAGGGAGACAAATATTGGGAACTGAGCCCATAAGAGAGTTAAAGCACCCCTGATGGAATTTATTTCACATACATTTAGACACTTGCCGTGTAAACATCTATATCTGAGCAAGTCACCCAAGGCTGTTTTCACAGTCAAAAAGGAGAAACAGGCACAAATCACCAGAGTTATTTTAGACTTCTATATTAGAAACAGGCACTAGAATGGTCTATTTAGCTCACATTTAGGCATATATATCCCACTCCCCAGTATATAAAAGCAGCAGACACTTGAGATGAGACTGGTTCCCTGTTCCTCTGCTGCCAGTACATTACAGTGTAGAGCATCTGTACTGTTCACCATCCTGCAACTCAAGACATTTATGTAGATAGTTTCCAGAAGGAACTGGGCCATTGGCATACCATATCTTCTGGATTCTGTGTAAACTTCAGCCCTGGTGTCTCCTAAGCCTCATATAGGCACACTAGACAAATCTTTTCATACAGACTAAACCACCAGTATAAATATGTAAAATGACCATATAACCACCCAGGATAGAATTGGTCATGGGTTTCTTTACTGAGAATACTTGATTTTTTCCTTAGGCTGATAACATTTGTTATGCATGGTAAGGAACTTTGTCAGTGATAAAAATAGTTTTCTAACCACTTCATTGAATAGTGCTACCTGCACAGTACTTCATGTCAGGTTCTTGAAATTTGAGTTATGAGTAGTTCTGCTGTCAAAGAGATTCCACGATTTCATATTCCACTCCTGTTTGTGTGGGAAAACACTACTCTGCTTAAGACAACTTGTAACAGAAGCCATAACACCTTAATTTTGTTAACGTTACATCTGACTAATATATGGATAGACTTCTTGCTGACTCTGCTAAAGTGGAGGCAGGGAATGGTCCTGGGACGTCATGAGACCAGTTTCATTTCTATAATGCACTCAAGAATCAGACCTTCTCTTCTTCCCTCAAAGAATTAGAGTCTCCCCAAGGCCACTTGCAGGACAGCTGGAATTAGGATTTGGGACCAGTATTTCTTTGAAAATCCTGTTTCATTTATCTTCAAGCTTAACACAACAATCATTCACTTAGATGCCTTAAAACATAACAGATTCCGAATAATCAGTCCAATCTTTTAAAATCTTAGTTCCAAACTACATCAGATCTATCCATTGCATTTCAGGAGTTGAAACAACATTAGTTTGCCTTTTCACAAGAGCTGAGCACACACACTACTACTGACTGTCAGTGGGACCCGAATCTCTTCCCATCCTGAAAGAAGTGCACCAAGGTATTTTCAAGTTCAATATTCAATCAGTGAATATAGGCTGGCGTCAATTCCCAGCCAGATTATTTGCATAACTGTTTTTAAAGGACAATTCTATCTCTGTAAAATGGGTCAAATCATGCCTTCATTTCAGAGGAGTGAAATTGCTACAGTGAAAATAACACCAGAATGTTATTTCTTTGTAGTCAAATGCTACCATGAAAATAACAACAGAAGATTCTTTGAAGAGATAAACTTGTTTCAGAAGTTGCACAGAATATATCATGATTAAGATAAAATGACAGCATACTTACTTCTCTTACACTGGCACTGTCCATCCAGGAGAAGATGACAGAAACCGGGGAAAAAAAAGCATAATTGTATCATTAAAATCAGAGAGAAAAATATCCAGAAGCAGCATACATTTTTTAAAAAAAAAAAAAAAATGTCACTTGCTAGAATCTTATTTGCAGACTAGCTGTTATACTGGGTTAAGAAGCTACTATCCCAACTAAATATTCCTTCTGTATTCAACCCAAGTAGTACAGATGCCTGAACAGAACCAACACTGAAACTTTAGTCATTTCAGTGAAAATCTGGTGTTACAGACTAAACCAGCAAAGAAGGGAGTTCCAGTTAAGACAATGTACTTGGCATTGAAGCAGCTATGAATTAATTCATGTTCTCTGGAAATATGGAAGATGGATATGGTAACTTCTTATCACAGAAAACTTTGCTTCAACTTTTGTGCCAGCATCTTAACCTCCATAAATAATTGAAAGACCTGTTTTCCAAAGGCATTTGGACACCTAAAGACAACTAATGAAACATAAGAAGAAAGAAAAAAAAAAAAAGTAATTTGCCTAATTCCCACTGAAATCAGGAAAAAAAATGTTTCTAATCAGTATCCTTGGAAATCTGCAATCAGGTAATTTATTAACACTGAATTTAGTCTCTTAAAAGCTGTATAATTTTATAGTGAACTATACTCTGTGTACACTAGAGAAATAAATTTGTACAGGCAGCCTTTATTCTGGCATTTCCTAGCTTTTTAATCTTAGTCTTTGCCTTCTTAAGAATATTAATTGACACAATTTTCACGCATGACAAAGAACCTAACAGTTTTAGTAAAACATAAGATTTTACAATAATGACAGAATTTTCATTCATATTTATACTTTACTGGAAAATGTGCATGATTTTTACCATTGCCCTGAATGATCACCCTGTCAGTTTAAATGATTTTCACTCTTTTCTTATTCCTCATACAGCTTTTATCCCTTCAAATATTTTTTCTGTTTTTATCATTATATAATTCTACAACAAACCTCCACAACTTTAACTTTTCCAAGATATCTGTTTTCTCATATTTCAATTACTGGTGACCTGATCCTTTGATTACTCTGGCCTTCTTTATAACTTTTGTTACCTTATTTAGCCCTTGAAAACACCCACAGGGAATATTACCTCAGCATCTTATCAGAACTGTAAAACTGAGGCTACAGTTCTGATGTGCAATATGCTATTACAGTATCTTCATGACAGCATCCTGCATATACCAGGTTAATATTTACTGATGTACTAATGTAATAATGACTTATCTGCCTCTGCTCCTCTCTGGGTTACTTTCTATCTATAGGGATGGGAATTAATGACAGTCTGTGCTGCCTGATGTCAGAGCTGAGAAAGGTGTGAAGGGTATATAAGAGTCATATTACTTGTCAGCAAGGAACGGGTAAAAGGGATACTCCAGAGCTAGATGCAAGCGTGGAATTGTTGAATGCACCCTTCTTGCTAACACGGGCATCCTTCTTCAGTTTACTCCCTGACCACTAAAAGGTAAACAATTTCCCTTTTTTTCTTACTTAAGACGCAGTGCAACAGATGTGCTTTCAAGAAAGCACAATATTTCTCATTATTAATCAACAACATTTTTCAGGAAAAGGCTAAGATAACTTCAAGGTAAATTACAGCTGGGACCAGAATTTGGACTGGGACATGTTGAGGAATGCAAGCCAGAGATAAGGGAAAGGACTGAAACTACAAGATGGAAAATGAACATTTACTGTTGAGAGCTATCCATCTGAAACTGCATTCTGTCACTAAATTTATGGGGATCATTTTTTCACTCTAGCCTGTGAAAAAGACTAGCTGCTGTTGATTTAGGACAGAATGGGCATTAGTAATAGGATATGCTGAAGAGTATTGGGGTTTGCTTTCAGTGTTGAATCATTATTCTTTTCAGAAAGTTTGGAAGCAAAGATGTGCAACCTAAAGCTGTCAGTTTTCTTCGTTGCACTTTCTGTCACTCTGAGCTGCTTGGATGCTACACCTATTGAGAAGTGAGTAATAAATAATCATATTTATTCCTTTTCAGGGGAAAATGTGTTCAGATTATTGCATTAATTTCTTTTGCTTTCACGTCTCAAATACTATGGGCAAAAATAGAGCTATTCAATTTCACAGGGTATTTTATTGTTGTTTAAAGATTTTTATCTGTGGCTGATGATCTGTCTGATGGTACTTCCAAGAGACAAGGATGGATATTGCCAGAAATGTCACGGAATAAACTCTCAGTACTTAGTGAGGAAATGCCAGAACAACCGGCAGCAAAGACAAAAAGGTACTGATTTTCCCTGTTTCATCTAATCATATCAACTAGGATTAAATTATGAAGTAAACTTTGTGCCAGTGGTATCTATTACTTGAGACTCTTAAGTGTCTGTTGTTTATTCTCAAAAAGAGCTTAAAGTATCCTTCTCATAAATAGAGCCCTTATGTAAGCATAAAGGTCAGATCAGTCAGGGTAGAAAGTCAAATCCAGAAATTAAAGTTTCAGATCATTTAATCACTTTACAATTATAACACTGCCATAAATTAAAAAAGCTACAAATACTAGATTACCTTGAGAAGAAAGGTGTATTTTGAAAGGGCCTTCTTTTTAAAATTTGTTGCATTTCTAAGCCTGAGGGGAAAAAAAGAAAATATACCTTTCTTCGTAACACCAATGCTCTGCTAGAATGTAATTATTTTAGAATATAACAGTTTCCTGTAAGTAATATTTCATTAAATATCAATCATGGAAAGAAGGGAAAGAGGCAATTGACTTATAGAATTTAACTTGTCTGAAATACATTCATGTTTATAAGTCCATAAATAACTTTTTTATTACTAAAATAGCATATCAAAAAATATTTTGAATTTTTACTAGAAGGTAAACAGCACCAAACTATTGTACGTTCATCAGGATTTTGAGTGAATTTCTTTCAATGACAATTCTGTTATGAATAGATTCAGTAAATACATGTGTCTGTATAGTTGCTTGTTCCTTTCTCTTAGAATTAATTTTTTTAAAAATCATTATTACATGACAATTTGGTTATCTTGCAAAATCTTTTGACAATGGAGACTAAGTTCCCACATTTTTACAGCTATTTAAAAAACAATAATAATTGTAATACTCAAGCACAAGGAATCACCTTAGTGAATATGGTGTGCCTTAACTGCTTTTCTGGGGCCTTGGTATACAATCTCTTACTGAGTGAACTGTCTCATTGAAGCACATATTCAATTAAAGGAAATCTAAGAGAAGTTATATCAAGCCCTATACAACCATTTTCTTTAAATACAATTACATATTTAAAATATTAATTGCTTGGAAATTGCTGTCTATTTGCCAGTATAATACAGACATTTATCTCACAATTGCTATTCCATCTGGATTCTTAGAGCAATACAAATAACTTTTAAAGGAATAGATTAAATTTTAGATAACAGATGTTATCAATCAATAGGAAAAGAAACTCACTGGTAATTGCTCTGAGTATGAAACTGGTAAATTGTCACTCTTCATAGTAAATTTTTGTTGCAAACTGCTGTCTGCCTTATGCTACCTCAACACGAAGATGAGAAAGAAAATTAATAACTCAAAAAGCAATCTCAGCAAGCAAGTATTTCTGTCTGACGGAACAACATAGCAGTCTCAGAAACAAATCTGAAAACCCAAACTAACAGTTCTATTGTGATTAAAAATACATATATATCTTATGCTACATAAGTTCCACATGGAGTTCTGTAAATGGTCTGTTGGTTCAGACTGTAAAATGTTATTTTTAGATATGAATTCTTCCATGGACACTCTTTAAAGTCTCATTCTGCAAATTATTATCTCCTACCACAACAGCACTTTCACATTGTTCATGTTTCAACAGAGATTTGGCAGCTTTTCGGTAGAGAAGAAATCTCTGTTTAGACAGAGTTAAAAAGTGGTGTTGAAGTTGGCAACATCTGCCACCTCTCACAGTATGTGGTGCAGTTGGGAGAAAGATTGTTGGGCTCAATCCACTTGATGAGGACTGGAAGATTACTGTTCACTTCAGTGAGAGCGGGATATGATTCTGTGGGAACAACAAAACTAAATAAATGTTAGTGATTTTCATTATGTTAGTGATCCTTATAATATCAGCAAGAGCTCCAAATAGGTTTAAAAGTTTAGCTTAAAGCTAAACATTTCGTCAATATTTTCACTTACTAGCTTAACTATACTATCATTACAGGTTTTCTAGATGTCATAAACTGCTATGCAGAATATCAATAAAAATGACATATGACTGTTAAGGTCTTTGCATTTAGATAACACCCATCATTAAAACCGATAATAACATACACCACAAGATTTTTCTCAGGCACAAAGTAGGTGGTAGGAAGATTGTAATGTTCCCTTACTTGTGCACATATTAAAAGAACTCCCACATCAGCACAGCTCAAATGCCTTTTAGAAGTGGCACACTTGATTGTTCATCATTTGACTTAACCATGGCTCTTTTTGTTTCACCTTAGTAGTCACCATCTGGAGAAACGGAAATGCAATACTGCTACATGTGTGACACAACGCTTGGCTGACTTTTTAGTTCGTTCCAGCAACAACATTGGAGCAATTTATTCACCTACAAATGTGGGGTCCAATACATACGGAAAGAGGGACACAGCTGGGCTTTTAAGCGGAGAACCTCAACACAATGCACAGCTTTAGGGTGTTAAAATGTCTACTGATACAGTTCTTATTAGGAGCTTGGTTTTTAATGTATCAATAACTTCTTGGTCATTTATTACTCATACAGTCTTAACAGTGCCTTGGTTTTGTTTTGGTTTGAGGGGTTTTTTTTTGGGGGGGTGGTGTGATTTATGTTCATCATTTTATTTCAACTCCATTAAGAACTCCAGAAATCTGCTTGTCAAATTATACTGTAAAAAAATAAAAATTAAAAAAAATATATATATATCACAATAATAAATGGAAAAGTAATTGCAACAGGGTTTTTTATTATTATTGTTAAAACAATTAATATGATAACTATAACATGTATGTCTTCATAGTCACTGTTCAGTAAGAGAAGGAAATCATCTTAATTAAGACCAACAAAATCAGAATGCTAACAGAAATTATATCCTAATGAAAGTAAAACAGAAGAATCTCCTGGGTGTGAAACATCTACAGTGTCATGTTTTGCATAACTGAAGGAACAACTAGATGAGACACGATGGCTGCATGGTGCATATGATTATATCAGTTAACTGACTGAGTTCTTTCCACCTTAATGTTCATTAAGCAAGTAGAAGTGGTCTTGCAGCACAGATTTCTATATGTATTGAGCATGAGATATTAAAATTTACAATTCTTACTTTAAGATGGGATCAGTAAAATGTAAGCATAATGAGCATACATGCTTTTAAATATGAATAAAAGAAAACTCAGTTAACAGGCTAGGAGAAACACCTGTCTGTGGATATTCTTTTCCTTGAGTTAGAGTAACAAAAGAAGGGAAAAAACCCAATGAGCACTTAAAGCATCAAAACGTATCATAGAAACAGGTTAAAATTGCTTACTGGCATACTTACATTACTACCAATATAAAACTATTTTAGACATGGGCAGACAGTAATGGAAATTTAACAGTGTTGTTTTCTCCTACCTCAGCCCAGTATCAGTGCAAGCTTAATAAACTTGTTTGTTCCTTTGAACTGTTAAGCAAACTTCCATAGACATAACATCTTATGGCAATGGTTGTTTAGTCCATCATTTACTCACTGAGGAGTTCAATATCCTCTGAAAAACATTGCCGTGCAATTATGAAACACATGCAGCAGAAACTTAGTTCTGGAGAAGGAAATGAAATCTTAATAACTGTCTTCGATTGATTTGTTTCTGTTATAAAGTATGCCTCAAAATGTAAACATTTTTGCTAAATTTAATGTTAAATGGCATATACCCTTCATTTCACAAATAATGCATGGGAATAAAAATTACTGCACAGAATTCCTGCTGTAAAAATTTTTTTTTTTTTTTTTTTTTTTTTGAGAAAAGTTTCAATTTCATTAGTGTTCTAATGGATATCTATTCTGAATTTTATTGAGAAAAACATTGATATTTTATTGAGAAAACCATTGATATTGTATTAAACCTGTCTAATACTTTTGCCAGCTTGAAATGCTTTCCATTCAAATTACTTTTGAAATATATTATACAGTCATTCTATGCTTAATTTGTTTTTCAGCTAGAATATTTACTTTTCAGAAAAGAAACAAGAAAGTGACAGGATAGGTCTGAAATGTCACTCTGATGTTTGTGCAGAAGAGTAACCAAGTGGAGTCTTCACTGTGGGTGGATGCTGATTTCTAGGCTGATCCCAATCTGAAATATGTACAGTGCTTTATGCATCAGCTTTTGCTCTTTAAGCTACACTTTGACAAATCAAAACAAAGCACAGACTGTCTATGCACAGGTTTAGTGGAACCATATACATTATTTTATGCCTTATGTATTCCTGAACCTGGTGGATTTGATACTAACATCTATTTAACATGTTTTCCCTATTTGGCAAATACTGAAAAAAGTTAGTCATCTCCTAGATCAGTGAAACAACAGAGACTGATAGATCAGTAGCTCAGAGGGGACCATCTCACCTATCTGTAGCTGCTTTGTTGTCTAACCAGTTGTCAGTTCTCTTCTGATACTTAGTGGAGAAAGACAGCTACTTCCAATTCATCCCGGCTCAGACATCTATTTTAGGATGGGTTGAATCACACTCTTGAAGTGCCTGTATTTCTTGATAGAGTGTCTAGACAATTAGCTGAAAATGGCCACTTAACTTTAGTATAACTAGAGTTAGGTGACAAGAATCCCACTGCAGTTGGCAAAAAAAAAAAAAAAAAAAAAAAGAGTTTGGTGCAGAAAAAGAAAACACAAACAAAAAAACAAACAAAAAACACATAAAAGAACCCTGAGGCTCCAAATCATCAGAGATCAACTCTCATATTCTGAAATACACCAGTTAATTCATCAGTCAGAGCATCCTGAAAAACTGCCTACACTGAGATTTGTTTCCTTGTACATGCCCTTGAGAACACAACTCTGCTACCCATCCTCCTGATGTGCAGTTACCACTGAGTGCACTTAGACCTCTTAGAGAAGGATCTAGTCATGGTAAGCCTGGATACAAGCACAGTCCTGAGTGGATTTAACAAGGGAGGAAAAGAAGGAGGGAGGGAGGAAAAGGAAACCAGACATTTCAGAATATGAAGACTGCTAGGTGAAGCCTAGCAGTAACAAAATAACAAAAATGAAGTGTCCCCATGCATTTTTTTAAATCCTGGTATGCATTTAACTACATCTTTATAGGGACATAAATATTTTTGAGAGTCAAGTCTTACATAGCTTTGGTTCTTTTTCAATTCATCTGGATGCCTTACATCTTTCAGAGAATATGCAAGAAAACAAAAACACAAAAGAGAAAAATAAGAATGTAGACAACATGATAAACATGGCTATATTCCCTTTAAACATAAAAATACTAAATGTTTGCTATTGTGTCTTCTACTGTCTTTAGAAGGAAAAGAATATGGACATAATATTAAATTTCACTAAATGAGAGGGGGAAGAATAAGTCATCAAACAAGCAAAAGGATTGTTAGAAAAAAGATGATATGAACATGAAGAATGTTTTAAATGGAGTAGTGGGCCCTAGGGTCTAATATTTCTCAGGAACTATGACAGCTTCATAAAGGAACTTTTTTTTTTTCCATGATGAATAGAGTTGAGGTAAAAAATTGATTTCACTTTTAAAACCTTGGGCTAAAACTATGAAAGCACAAAATATTCATGGAACATAAAATGTACTTCTATTGAATAGTAAATTTTGAATGAATAGCTTCAATTTCTATTATGATAATATAAATATTTTTTTCAAATAAATAACATTCTTGGTGAGAGCTTTATATACTAGGTTGGCAAAGCTTCCATTCACTTTCAACAGGATAACATTATAAGCAAGTCTGGATTTTTCTGAATGGCTTTCTAAATCTATTTAAAAGTTAATGCAGTGATACTACAAAAAAATACCATTTCCCGTAATGAACTACTGAATATCTTCACTAGCTGTCATCTTCACTTTCTAGAATTATGCTGGGTTTGAGTCAATTAGCTTGCTTACAAATACAGTTTGACAGGTATGGTAGACTCTTTGTTCAGAGCTACAAGGTTAAGTAATTTTGTTGTCTAGCTTCATTATCATATAGAAAAGGGACTGCTCTACGTTGCTTTTGCAATGCAACTAGCAAAAAGCTCTGGTTAGGTATGATGCATCTTGTTGTATACAGAATATAAAAATAATGGCTGAACTAATATGAAATAGAATCTTTCTTTGGGATGTGTCAACTTCTGTTTCAATACTCCTACTGTTATCTCTGTTTTCCCACACTCAGAAATAATCCTACACTGCAAAATAAAATATTTTTGTGAAGCTGTGTAAGGTTCAATAACAAAAGTCAAACTAAGACCTAAACCCCACCATTTAAACTAAACTTTAATTTAGGAACAAAGACCCCCAAAATCTGGATTCTCTACTGACCAGTTTTTCTGAAAACTTTAGAGAAATTTGTCTCCAGCTTCAATTGCTATGAAAACTATATATCCTTAATTAGATCCAGTTAAGAAGTGTTTCTCTAACCAAAACCTATCTTCATATCAAAATGTTAAAAAAATTCTGAAGCTAGGAATTATATATGCCATCAAAATTTGAAAGTCATGACAACAGAAGCTCACTAAAAAGTGAGACAATGGTGATAAGACAATAGTTAAAACTGCTGTTCATTATACAAAAAATTTTCTCCTTGAGTGCTAAAACATCTGAACAAAATGAGCACATTCATATGCATTTTAATCCTAACAATAGGGGTAATTCAAGTAACAATCATGCCATAAAGTCACTATTTCCTAGAAATGCTTTTATAAATAAAAAATAAGTTTAATTGTTCAAATTAAGAATCTTAGACCTGCCTCTACTTTAATAAGATTTTTCCTCTACTTTAAAAGAATCTTTTTAATCCTGCATTATAGACAGTGAAACTGTTTCTTATAAGCTATTTTACAACATCCTTAATATAAATGATAACTGCACAGGTAGCCTGAGATATGTGATATGCTGTGGAACAACTGGTGACACCAAGGGTGATAGAAACTGATTGAATTGAATTTCTTTAATCCCAAATTTTGATTAGTACATCAGATATGTGGTGGGTTGGAGTTTTTATTCTGTTTTACTTTTCAGAAGGAATTAAAACACTGGGGTGTATTCAAATAATTGGAATGATATTAAATAGATCATTACATGCTTTGAATTGAAATTGTTGGAATAATTATGAAATGAAATGCTACTCAATATGATTAGAATGTGATTAAAACCAGAACCTGCTTAATATTTACACTGTCAACAGAGGCAGATCACTTTATTCAAACAGAATCAGTCTTTATTCATTAAGCAGTCCTTTTGAAAGGGGCTGAAGTGGGACTTGCATCCACCAAGAGAATTGTGTAAAAATTTAATCAACTTGTGATTGTCAGTCCAACACTGAAGAAACTAAGCTACTTAACTCTTAGAGTATGGGTCATTTTTAAACATCATTCTTGGATGGGCTCATTACAGTATTGCATATGGAACTAGCCACATAACAGAGGATTTTTTTTTTTTTTTTTACAGGGGGGAAAAAAGAAAGTGATCATTAAAACTGGAGAAGGACACAAATAGTGTGAAGGTTGCAGAATACTTGAATCCTTTATCCAGGATCAGTAAGCAACTGGTAGCGATTTTTTATTTCTGAATCATCTGCTGTACTATGGTACAGGAAGGAGAGAGGAAAAACTAAGATCATGGGACAGTATATTCTTTCCCA